CCGCAAGGTGGAAGAAATGTGCCATCTTGAATTGTTCTTTATTCTCACACAGCAGGGCTAAGCTACAATAAAATCCAACATATCAATTAGAAAATTCAGAAGAAATAAATATTAAATATTATTAACAACATTATTATTATTATTATTATTATTATTATTATTATTATTATTATTGTTGTTGTTATTATTATGTTGCAATTTTTATTTCATGTCATTTTCTAGTTGGTAGTATTGGCTCTAAGCTACATCTACAACTCACGTAAAAAAGTACGTCTGATTCTATGTTTCCTAAAAATAAAATGAAATAAATAAAAAATTGTCGCCAATTTAATAACTTTCAACGGGAAGCCGTGGCTAAATGCCGTTGCGTAAAAAAATCCCAATCAAAATCGAACTAATTGCTTTCATTCTACAGCGTGATCCTCAACCGCCGCCGCGACACAAAACTGCTTTGGCGGCTAAACAAGCCCAGACTCGCTAACAATAAAAAGTCAAATAAAAGTTACAGAACTTGAGAGTTCAAGGTACTGCGGGCTACTTGGAGTGCGTGTCACGTACGGTTAACCTTTTTATCGGGCATGCCTGTGGTCTCATCAGTCGATGAAATTCTTTGCCCGCGGCGGTGGCTTAGCCGAGGGACACGGACCAATAGAAAAATATTTCATTGTGTTAGCATTTCAAATGGCGAGTGGAAGGTGGAGAGGAGGGCATCTGGAGGGGCGGTGGGGGAAGAAGCTCGATCCGATCGTTGCCAGTGGAATTAATTGCCTATTCTGAGAATAATGTCCCTTAACCATGATCCTCGGAGGGCCGAACGCTAGCAGAGGGCACCTTTTTTTTTTTTTGTTTTCGTCTTCAAAAAGACGGGCGCTCAGGGGTACTGGACGTATTATGGGTTTAGCTTGGTCCCCTTTATGTCGGGAAATAATAATCAGAAGCACTGAACCAAACTGAACTAATCCATATCCCAATTAAATATCGGCGAAAACAATACAAAAATGTTCAGAAAAATCTAAACGCGAATCTTTAAAAACGACTACTAAACCTGTTRGACACTAGCGTATTCTGACTAATAATTTGCTTATTAAAGAAAGCTTGCTTTAAGACAAAAACATCAAAAATACACCATCGATATTTGGCTTGAAGCCAGCACTCGATAAATGGCTCAAGATGGCGCGACCCCGGTGGTGCTTCTATCCTTTTATTTAAGGGGATTTGAGTTCAGGCTCTGCTACACATCGGCCAAACATATGCAATGACCCTAACTCATATTGGTGCATCTTTTAGCCACATCTTAATCTAACCTCTATAAAGCTCAGCAGCTTTTCAAACTCAAAACAGCATAAAGAATAAGTATTGTTTGGATCCAGGGAAGAGGCTGCCCTGGGAAAAGCCTCCTCAGAAAAGCTGAACCCGAGCCGGGGCAGAAGCCCTCTGGAAAAACAGCTGCTTATGCACTGCAATCAGTTGGAAAACAAAACCAAAACCCAACAGCTAAGAAGGAAGAAAATGGTTATTTATTTATTTATTTATTTTTTTTTGGGGGGGGCCTGTTTATGAACAAATCCAAAATGCTCCATCCCTCCATATCGACCTCTGTGAGCTCCATTCGCACCCCGGTGTCGATTTCATCCCTCGGCAGATGGACGGGCGAATTCGCAGCAGTCCTTATTACACGCCTCTCCTTCGCTCATTGTGAATTCAGTCAACGAAGTCAATCTTATTAACTTCCGCACCGGTTCACACATGACATTTTCCTCAATTTTCTCGCTGACATCAAAAACATCAATTAGCAGCTCGAAAATGGGAAGGAGCGAATGACGGAGTCCGATAACGCAGACTTATTTGAAGCCGGGGGTAAATCTATTCTCCGGTTTTGAATGTGTTCATTACAATTGCATTTTCAAAGAAGACCTCCAAATAGCAAAGAAATTAAATTTATCTTCTAGAAATGTCCAGAAATTGTTTTTTTTCCCCCGTCTTTCTTTATATTTTTTTTTTAATCCCGTGTCTATCTCTCAGCCTCAGTGGGTGACACAAAGCATTGTGGTGCTGCATTTTCTTTTCCTCATTAGAACAGATCACAACTCCCACAGAAGTTGAAACCCTATACTGTAACCTCGAGTGTAACCCAGAAAAATTATTTTAAAAGAAGTCCAACGTTTCTTCAGGAAGAAAAGAAGAGCGATAAAGGAGCATGCCTGTGACCTACAGTTTCAAGAAGAAGAAAAAATACCAGACGATAAATGCAATGTCTATTTTTATTCTACAAGGGGAGCTTTTAGCAGAATACAGAAATACTTTGAAAAAACATTTTTTTAAGTTTATTTGCATTTAAAGATGAACAAAATAAATCTCTGCACAGTTTTTAAAGAAGCACTGAACAATTTAAATAATGACAGACTATGTAGATTTAATATAAGCACATAAATAAATAAAAATAGTATAAATATTATCAATATTTAACAGCTATATAAAACAAATTGTAAAGAATTAAAAAAACTATGTATGCTGGTTAATATTATTTAACAATACAGTGTTTATATGCATTTAAAGATGAACAAAATAAATCTCTGCACAGT